AATAGCCCATATTTGAATTGTGCAACCTGTTCCGCTTCATAAGATTTGAATGAAGGTGGAATGGCTGGACTGAAGGGTAAATCATTTTATGTCGAGACCGAAGAGCTTGAACAAAACGGTATCCAGAATACGCAATGAGTCTAACACAGCGCCGTAAACATGCATTAAATTGGAACAAAACATGTGTACAAACTGTGTCGAATTACACACAACTATTATATGTTCACATAGACTTATATCTTTCATTGAGCAAGAGTTTAAATTGTCTTCAAATTCCTGTGTACTGTGTGCTGACATTTGACACTGACTTACTTATCATGTTGTTATTTTGACAACGTCACAATGTTCTCCTTACATGTCTGGAATCATCAATCATGGACTAAAGCATGTTAATAAGTGGGGTTCCAGATTCTGTTTTATTTTTAATTATGATTAATAACATTCATTGACACCAATAAACTAATGACACTCATATATTTAAGATTGATTAACATTTTGATATACATGTGCTTATGCTGTGGCCAAGTTAAAATGGTTTCGTCCATTACATTGGGTGTGTTGTAGTAGGCTTTACCGAGAATTTCACAAACATGGCTTCTGAAACAGAGGTAGCTCAAGCTCTGGATGAGATTACTGAAGATTTTCTGACCTGCTGTATTTGTTTTGAACATTATCGGCAACCAAAGGTTCTACCATGTTTGCATACATTCTGTGAACAATGTTTAATAACTTTAGCGAATAAGACTGACTTGGATTTCAAATGTCCAACATGTTCCACCCCTTGTGATTTGGGAGAAAAGGAAATAGCTGGACTCAAAGGTAACTTTTTTATTTCAAGTCTTCTTCATGAGATGAAAAAAAGATCAAAAAGCTTGTCCAAAACTGCATCAACACGTTCCCATGGGCTTTGCTCCATTCACTATGGTAATGAACTAAGGTATTTCTGCAAGACTTGTCAAGTGCCTACCTGTACAGAGTGTACTATTGTGACACACCGTATGCCAGAGCATATACATATAACCATAAAGGAAGCTGTTGATGAATGTCACAGTTATTTGGTAGAAAGTGTGAAGATACTGGAAGACAGGAAAGATGTCCTATCAAAAGGCATGAGAAAAATGACCGAACTGCGTAGTATACTTGATGATAATTTCACAAAAGAGAAGGCAGCAGTGGGAGGCGCATCCGAGCACATGAGCAAAGCTGTCAGTAAGAAAG